GTGCACACTCTCAACTTAAATATACACAACAGAGAGAGAGAGAGAGAAACCACAGGGAAAAATTCATTTCAAGCTTTGGACAGCAATCATTTTTTAAATTTCTTTGGAAAATCTTTCTAATTTGTATATCACATCATTAGTTAAACAAATTTATTGGTGCACATAGAATTTGCATACATCATGTTACATGTTTTATATCAGGTAACAAGGAATGATCTTTTTGATATCCTGGAAGCCATAAATTCTAAGAAGATGGAAGTTGTGACTAATATACAGGCTGACTTCAATAGCACCGAAGGACCTCTTAGAAAGCCTATGTCCCTTCTTTTGAACAGCTTGGTGGAGGAGCCTAAGAAAAAAGCTGATGTTCCCAACCACCTCCTGGAATCAAGTAGGTGATTAGTTGACTGTTCTCAGGCAAAGAAGAGTTGCTGGTTACCTTAATTTTGATGAACTTGATTGTATATCACATCTATTTATAGGGATGATCTTGGTTGCAGCTAAGGTCATTTCAAAATAAAATAATTCATTCTGATAGGTTATCACCAGTTAGGGCCATCCACTAGTGCTACCATATCTGTTAATGGTAAGCATTCCTCCTTCTTCATCCCTTCCAATCCACTCCTGAGGTTGGAGGATCCTCTCCAGTGGTTGGGGAAGGGAAACATAGGGGATTGCCAATGGAGAAGGAGAGTCTCACTGCGCAAGCAGGGTTCTTTATATTCCTTCAAGACATACATCATAACATAGATTCTGTCTCTAACATTCTAAACATTCATATTGAATGAACAGAAAATATAATTGATCTGCCGTTGAATTCTACAGATAATACTACATTAGGATGAGGCCTAATATTTGGTCAAGAAAAAAAAATAGTGTCAGCCTGAGGAATGGGTAGATTGTTGTTGGGTAGGCTCTCTGGATTGTTTTTTGTGCAAGGAAGATCCTGGGCAAGATTATGTCAGTCCACCTAATATTAAAACAAATAGAATAAATTAGCCATGGTGAACTCCTGGAGCTATCGTCTGGCTGTGCCAATTATTGCATTTGTTTCTTTTTATTTCAGAGATTTATACAAAGCTATTAAGAAACAATGTTATACAGGCTAAACCTGCCATAATGCATTATGGAGGGTTTGAGACAGAAAAACATCACCAACAAGTGCTGGTAGGTAATGAAAGAGTTGAGAGCTAATATGCTGAAATGAGTCCATGCATTTATTTATCCATTTATTATTTGCCCACATTTATATGTTGTCTACTCCTTATGACTCAAAGCAACTTACAGTATATAAAAATAATAGCATACATAAAACACAATTTTAAAAACAGTAAATTAATACTGTTCATAAAAGTTATCGCTACCCTTGGGAGACATGCCTACCCAAATGTCCTCTGAAACGCAACTCCCTTCGCCATTTTTCTGAAGGTCGTAAGGGTAGGGGGACATCCGACCTTTGTGGGTATGTGCTTTTAGAGGGATGGAGCTGCTCCTGAGAATGTGATTCTCCAGGTCCCAGCATCCCGCCACTTTTGTATTCTCTTTCTGCCAGACAGTGTAGGGCAGACAGATTCTACAAGAAGATGGTTCGGAAGATAATGAGGTCCTAAGCTGGACAGGGTTTTATGTTCAGCACCTTGAATTGGGCCCAGAAGCCGCTATCAACCAATGCAGTTCCTGCAGCAGGGGTATTACCCAACTGTATTGATTACAGTAGTGCCAGTTAGCAAGCTTTTTCCTCTATTCTGTTCCACCCATAATCTCCAAGTCATCTTACATGTTAATCATTATTTTTTTACACTTATGTACATCACCTTCTGTCTGTAATCATGCCTAAAAAACTGACAGGAACATCTTTTTTCTTTCTAATTGTTTTATCCTACAGAAACTCATAAATATTTCTGGAGAAGTTATAAACGTCCATATTATTCCACCTGATACAAAATACTTCCAGATCAAATATAGGAAAATTGTAAGTGTCAGTTCAGTAACCTTGAGAGTGTTCACATTTAGTTTGTCTCTCCCTTTTTGAACTTCATCAAATTGCAAAACAAATGGTTTGAAGCCTTTCTTAGGAAATTGTTCTGCTCTGTTTTATAGCAGCGACTTGTCCCTGGCTTATCCTTTACAGTAATGGTTGATTTCTGTCCTGATGAATGGCGATACTATTATGACTGCATCCGAATCCATTCTCAGGTAAGAAAAGGCAATAGGCCTAGGTAGGAACTCTCTCTTTCCCTGCAAATGTGAATAAATATAGTGCTGACTGTTCATGATATCCACTCATACAATGAGTAATTTTACTATGCTTAGCTTGCTCATTATTCTTTAGTAGTGAGCTTCTTTTAGTTATCCCTTTTCTTCAAGTTATTTTGTTCTGAGCCCAATCAAGAGATAAAGCATATAGTTGGGAAAAATAGAAGCTCAAAAGGAATATATACTTTAGTTTAAAATAAAGTAGGTGACATGTTTCCAGCATTTTTTTCACTGTTTTCCTAGGAACTAGTTGGATTCTTATGCTTATGAGAATGTTCTCATGTTCATGAAAACATTCATGCATATTTTTTTTTCATAAGATAGAATGTGTAAACTAGGTTATCAGCCTTAATTCCATTTGTGCTACACGCAGCATTCCATACTAATGGTAAGGACAATACCAATCATTTCTGGCACATTTTTGCCAATTTGCCACAAGTTCAACCAGTTTTATTGTAAGTGTGCTTCTGCTACTCTAACCAAGCTAGGATCTCTAATCTAGAGATTGCCTTGCAACTAGGAGGTCTATGCAGTATACTGATGCACAATGAATTGTAACTAGATTTAACTATTTTTTTCTTTTTTAAACGCCTGTCTTCAATTACTTTGGTATATTGTTTCTTACTACTTTTCTACACTCAGCATATTTCTTACCCTAAAAGAAATAGCATGATATGTATGTATGTGTATAGGTAGTCCTTGCTTAATGACCACAATTGGGACAGGAATTTAGGTCACTAAGTGATGCGGTTGTTAAGCAAATCATGTGACCGGGCCCGATTTTAAGACCTTTTGTGGAGGTCATTAAGTGAATCACCATGGTTGTTAAGTGAATCATACGGTTTCCCCATTGATTTTGCTTGCCAGAAGCCAATTGTCAAGGTCGCAAATGGTGATCACGTGACCCCAGGGCGCTGCAACTGTCATAAATGCAAGCTGGTTGCCAAGCATCCGGAACACAATTATGTGACCATGGGAGCACTGCAGTGGTCATAACTTTGGGCACTAGTTGTAAATCACTTTTTTTTAGCACCTTCATAACTTTGGGCACTAAACAAATGGTCGTTAAGCAAAGATTACCTGTATGTATATATATGTATGCAAGTGGAAAAATTAATGGATTTTTCTCCCAGATCATGCTAATCTAGTCATTTGGGATGGCTCACTGTTTTCCAGAGCAAAACTTCCAGAACAGGAATGGTGATAGGATTAGCCCTCCTAGGTCTTAAATCTAGGAAAATATATAGAATTAGGCTTTCCTATGCTGCATGTTTTTATTAGGTGGGGATTAAAGTGTCCCCATCATTATTTAAGCATGTGGGCAGTGCAGCCTTAACTGTGTAAGAGACCAGAACTAGTTTCCCCATAGATCAGTTCTCCTGTGACAGTCTATGTCCTTCTCTTTTCTTCTCAGGGAGATGAAACTTTGCTGATCCCTTTGCATGCCTATCCCGTGATGAATGATGTAGACTTTCCATCCTACATTAATCTGTCTGATGTTCCTTTGGGACAGTGGCAAGTGGTTATTAAAACAATAACTTTTCTTCCATCTGCTTTTCATGCATGATAAAAGAATTAGCATAATTATAATTGGCTGGTGAGCAAGGAAAGAACAGAATGCCTCATCTGCATGTAACATTAATTCAATCAGGAAATACAATTGAAGCTGCTTTTACTGTAACCATATTTATATATTTTTCATTTGGTGACCAGGCACTGTAAAATATAATTCTGGAAGTACTTTGTAAAATTATTGGACAACTATTACACCCTAGTTGTGCTCACTGATGGCTCTGAGAATGTGTGTGAAAACCATGGGGAGAGAAAATGAAAGTAGGAGACAAAAAATCTAGATAGATAGATTTTTGTTTTCTGGAGTCTTAAATCTGTTAACAAAATGTGGCTGGAAGAGGGTATTTTCCTTTCTTTTTAAATTTCTCCTGATCTTACTGTCTCTTGAAAAGAAAACAGGGTTTGTTTCACCATTTTTTCTGGATAAAGCATTCCTGTCTAAACTGGTGGGAATGAACGACTGTATGCCCAGAAAGAAGACCCCTGTGAAATAATGATGTACTCGTAGTATAGACTGAATGGGATTACTGCTGTTATTAGTAGTAGTAAAAATTTTATATTCAAAAATAGCCACATGCCTCATGGTGAAGGGAGCCATCTTACCTGCAGTTCATGATGCCAACTTCAATTACTGTATATATTCATGCACTGAACTTCTTTCCTGTTGTAGAAACAGATGCATACATAGTTGGAAAAAGTGACATAAAGAGATTTTTGTGTGCTCTATGCTGTGGACGTCAAGTATCTCTTGCTGGAGTAGGGCCACAGGTCTGAAATTTATAGCAGTCCTACTTGTCTGAGCTTTCAAGACACTCTTGCTTTACTTTCTCAAGAGCTGTTGTAAATTGAACTTTAAGGATGCTTGAATTCCCCATCTAATATACTTGTTAAACGAACTGAGAAATATTTCTGAGTACATCTGTGTAGGATTAGGCAGCTATTCTTTCTTAGAATATTTTCTTGTTCTTTGTTTTTAAATCTTAGTTTTTCTTTTCTTTTTTCTTTTTTACAAATGCTGCCCTTCTTTTCCTGACCCTCCTGCTTTGTTCCTTGGCCCATATCATTGTATCCATCCATGGCTTCCATTATTTGCAAAGGGCAGAATTGCTTCCCAAATTGGACATCTTAAACAACTATCAAAGAGAGATACTATTTTTATTATTCGTGGAAACAAGAAAGACAGAAATAAATAATTGTTTTAAGGAAGTACTGTATGTAAACTACATTCCATTGTAATCGGCTAGACAGGATTCTAGTGAGACAGTTTATTTATATTGGAGTTCTTGGAATGGAATATATTTAAGTGGAGAATATTCAGATTTTTTTCTAAACAATAGTTAGTCAGTGAAGCAGGGATTGCTATCTATTCAGAAAAGTACAATTTGGAAAAAATATATAAGATATTCAAGAAGGGAGTAATAGAAGTACAAATTGAAACAATAGGATAGGATTTTATGGAGAAAGCCCATTCCCTGAAGCCCCATTCCCCGAACCCATTAAGGCCTAGAGCAAGCTGGCTGGGGCATTCTGGGAGTTGGAGTCCACACATCTTAAAGCTGCCAAGGTTGAGAAACACTGGCCTAGAGGGTTATGCAAAATTGGATTCAGTGCTTCACCCCTATATTCCATACTGAGGTTTGGAGTAAAGCTTCTTTTTTGATTTAGGCTACTGTCCTAAACATGGAATGAACTCATGCACATAATCACAGTCACTTTTAAACAAGCGTTTAATTTTTATCAGTGGTATAAATATTGTATAAGCAGTATATATTACAAGCAAGTGTCAAGTTATAGGTTCAGTTTTCCTCAATTGTACCTGTTTAGGTAAAGAAATCTAGTTTTTGAATATCCCCTGTGATAGAGAGGAAAACTGTCCAGCAAGTTATTTCTATGAGCAGTGTTTGTTTTTATTGTTAATACCATTCCACTTGAAGGATCCCATTAATGGGAATGAAGAACTGTAATCTTCCAGCCTCAGCTTTAGTGATTTTTCTAGATTAGTTTACTGAATTAAATTTACAGAATTAAAAATGTGCAGCTTTACCAAATATAGTAAAGTCTGTGAGGTTGCATGTTTTTAATTCAAAATAAGTGGCATAATGTGGCAGATCTATTAAGTAAGCCTCATTGAGTTCAGCAGGATTTATTCCCAGATAATTATTGCTGTGAAGTCTTAATTGTTAATTTTAAAGAAGGAAGAATATCTAAATTAAAATCAGCTGAGGCCTATTTTTTACTCATGAAATCATGAAGCTGCTTTTTCTTTTATTACTGTTTTTATCATATGAGCTTTCATAATGAAAAAGCTTAAATCTTACTAAAAGAAATTACATACGTACAGTGTTTTCAATTATTAATACAAGGCTGCCAACTTTCATAAAATATGACTTCATGACTTATCTAATACAGTTGCTTGACCAGGGCTGCATATTCAAGTAGTTTGTTCTCCAATAATAGTATGAAATCATTTTAAATAAATTTTGGGTGCAAATCATCTGAATTAGAATAGGTTTTAATTTTAATATGTGGCAGGCATTATTTTGAAAATTGCTCTCCTGTTTACAAGCTCCTAATTTCATGTCGTCATATCAGCACATTTTTGTCATGCTACTGCTGGAGTGATCTGTTAAACATCTGAATATAATTATTTGCTATTCAGTCCTGTTCTCCTTTTTCAGTAAGCGATATGTGGTCCCTCTGCAGTGTAGCTGCCCCATAGATTTTGAGTTTCAGGTTGAGTACCTTCAACCCCACAAAGCCTTTACTGTGCATCCCATATCAGGTAAGTTCTGAAGGGAAAATCCTGTTTCATGACTGTTTGAAATGTTACATAGTAATATAAATCCAACTATCTAAGTGGCTATCTTGCAGGAGGATTTCATGCATCACATTAAGCCATCCTGAGTTTTGTTGGATTTTGACTCAGTGTGTTATGTGAACCTATCCATAGTGATTTGTAAATTTGTATCCCCCAAGCAAATCGGCTTACAATGAATATACTTCCTTCCCACTGCATCTTGATAACAGATACCTTTGCTCAAGCGTAAGTCTTCCAAATATAGTAAGTCTTTCCAAAGCTTAGCCTGCCTTGGATGCCAGCCTCAATAGGCCAGGCATGGTTCACAGACCTTCTCTTTGTAGAACTAACCAAAATTGGCCTTTCATAATCAAGACACTTTATGTTCATTTTAAATTATTTTCATCATTGTGTCCAGACATTGGAATAAACAATAAGAAAAATAATGGAAAAGTTTGAAGAAGGATGAATGAGGGAAAGCCATGTCACTAACTACTTAGAAAGCAATCCTAGCTGAAATTGTAGGGGAAGCAGTGTGGCAGAACGCCCACAACTTTTAAAACCCATCAATTCACACAGGCAATAGTAGTTTTATTGGGCTTTTTGGTGCAGTGCATCTTACTTTTGGGAAATTGACCCTATCACCTATTCAGAATAGCAGAATGATTTATTATACTAGCTCTAAATTGATTCTTGTGAAACTTGATCCAAATCCTTCCAGGGAAACAAGGCTTTTGAATTCAAAAGTTGTTTGGTTCCAAACTATTTTAATTCCAAAATGTTCTTTTGGTACCTTGTGCCAGTAGGAAGAGTAACTGTACTATGGGTACAAGGAAAGCATATCCTAATCCTCTTTAGATAGAGATCCAAGTAGCTGAGAATTGCTTTGTCTACCAATAATTGGTTTTCCAATCAGCTAATCAAAATCTTTTCTCTCTTGCAGCCTCTAGAACAGCATACACACATGGAAAGAGTATATATATTTAGATAGGAAAGTGATGGCACAATTTTAGAGTAAATTCATTAACTTCATTTTATTTGTTCATTACAGGAATAATTCCAGCCAGTGGAAAAGCAGAAGTAATAATTACATTTGCACCTTTTGAATATGGGACAGCCCAAATAAAAATCCAGTTGTGGATTTCGCAGTTTAACTCAAAACCTTACACGAGTACATTCACAGGAACGTGTACCCCACACCTAAATTTAACGTATGTGAAGCTTACAATGTTTTGAATATATTTTGAATTAAGCTTAACAGAGATCTTTACAGAATATCTTTCCTACTGAGGGTTTCCTATTCAAAGAACAACATCATGGTGCAAGTAAAAACTGAGTGAGTCAAGCTCCCGAAAACATATCATGTTGGTTCCTGAAAATATTAACTGCATTTATCTCCCATTGAAATCAGTGTAAAATATCAATCCTGATTAAGGGCTTTTTTGCACTGCAGTCTGTAGCTCCTTGACTAAACCAGCTTTGGCCTCAGTGATGGCCTGATGTTCTGCCCAGACCATGTTTACCAAGACCCCTAATTGGTGGATTCTCCTGCTTCTGTACCCTTCCTGGACCAGTGGAAAGAAAGTACTGTCCTGTCTGGTTTCCTGTCATTTGGGCTAGAAGGGAAAAGTAGCAAAACTGTTAGTTATTTCACAAAACAATTGGCCATGGAGAACAGTGACCCCAATGACTGGAGGGGAGGAAGTGTTTCTGCTGTAGCACATAATAAATAGCTGGAATGGAAGTAGTTGCCCGCAATATAATGAAGCTCAGGCAAACCAGATAGTACTGCCTGAGCCAGCACAATGTGAAAACACTATTTTTGAGATAGGGAAAAAAAAAAAAAAGGGCACGCGGAGCTTGTCTTCCCAGCGGGGTGGGTGTGGGTAGGATGGTGTCAGATTTTCCTACCTCATGTTGGGGTAAGCTAGTCATGTGGATCAGCCCTAAATGGAGTCCTGTTGATTTCAGTGAGGACTTAAGTTAATTTACTCTGCATCCACATAATCATCTTGTTTGGAGTGATTGTAAAAAATATTTTTAATAACCCTTTGTGAGCAGTACTGATATCATTGCTAAAATCAAACTTTCCTTCCAGGAGTAAGTGTATATAGATATTTGGGTGAAAAGTTCCTCACTTGAGTTGTAGGGTATGGGGCAGCATGTCAACAACAGAGTCACTTAATGTAAAAAGAAACAAGTGGAAGCAAGTCCTTGTAAAATGGTTCAGTAGCTACAGACCCCTTTGACATGCAAGGGACTCACCAATATTGGCACCACCCTTGCATGTCCCTACTGTATTATGAGGTTCCAGTAGTTTTCAGAAACCAAGCTGATTAACTCCACAAGTTAGCTCCAACACCAGAGGAAACACTATAATGATTGTTTAACTGCAGTACTTCCTCCAAAGTTGTCAAGTAGCTTCACATTGGTAGGAATTGCAGCCTCATCCTACCTCCTGGATTCCTCTCCTCCTCCTCCAAGCAGCCATGGCGCTATGGCTTCTCCCCATTCCCTGCTGCACAGAAAAGCAGCTCTCCTGTTCCCTGAAGAGAGGTCAGCTTGCTTTTTTCCCCCTTCCCTCATTGTTTAGCTAATTCAACAAGGCATATGGTGAAGAGAAGCAGCAGAAAATCAGCTGCCTCCTCTTTCTGATACTCCATCCATTAATTGGCTGGAGGAAGCATTGACGGGTGCCAAGAGGGGGCAGTTTGATCACTACCATGATGGGGGCAAAGATGAAGTCTGTGGGGGGAAAAAAGTCATACTGTACTATGACCATGTTTGGGCGTCAAACATGTCAGAAAGCATGCAAATAGGAGAAATTTGCATGTAGGCAAACCTCCACCAAGGAGCACGAATGCCTACGACAGCATGCCCTACCCACCAGTGTCAGATACAAACCCTGCACAGTTTGATGGAAAATAGAGACAAACAATCCAGCAGACAAATAAGCAGAAAACAATACCCTAATCAAGGAACTAGCAAGGAGAAAACCGCAACCCCACCAACACTGGCAGGGCAAGCCACCGTATATTAAAAAGGGGCAAAACCCCCAATCACTAGCCCTTATGTTGGTTACTAGTTTGGGAATGAAATGTTTGGCAGCAAAA